CTCCATAAGTGCGAAATTTGGACCGATGAGAAATCCAATATTTACCATAAAGGACCAGACACATTGAAAGCTTGGTAGATTCAGGATTGGAAAATGTTTAATCTGAAGCTGTAAAATTACGACGTAAACAGTTACAATCATGTTTCTAATTTTCAAAGGAAAATCAATAGCAAATGACTAAATGAAAACAAAATACGCTCACAATGTTTTATGTTCACTCACATCAGTCCCAAGCTTTGTAAACTTTTCGGCATCCAAATACAGAACATCAAAATGCAGATTACATCAAATTACACCCATAAACATCAAAATCATTTCTTAAAGGTTGATTGTCTTTCGCAATCATATCAAATTTCACATGTCAGTCAACGATTGATGACTGCCCCCCCCCCGCAATGGGGAATCCCCATTGTAATCAGCAAAACCTTCAGCTGGATAGATGATGCAGATCTTTGTAATTGGGCGCATATTTGTTCCTGAGCCCCTTTTCACTTCAACATCTCGCATCAAACCATCTGGTTCAGGGAAAACTTGAAGAATTCTGCCTACGTTCCATTTTCCTATAACTGGGTTTTGATCTGCGACGATGACGGAATCATTGACTTTTACATTTCTGCTTTATGTGCTCCATTTCTTTCGTGGCATGAGCTGAGGAAGAACATCTCTGTACCACCTCTTCCAAAAGGCGACGACAATCTTTTGACAGAACTCAAGCCGATGGTGTGGATTTTCCATATGGTGAAATGGACCCTTAGGAACTCTGTTGGTTGCTCTACCAAGTATGATGTCGTTTGGACATAAACAGGCGCCATCATCGGGGTCGCTTGGTATTCTGCCGATGGGCCGTTCATTAAATAGATTTGCAACTTCAAAAAGGCAGGTGTAGGGCTCGAAGGGGGTGCGAACAGCTTTGCCAAGGGCTTTCTTGAGGGTGGACTTTGTGGACTTGACGAGAACTTCACAGCATCCTTTCTGATGTGGGGCAAGGGGCGTAGTGAATTGCCATTTCATACCCCTGTCGGCGCAGTACTCGCTTAGCTTTGTTTTGTCCCATCCTTCGATCATAAGACTCAATTCTCTTTCTGCTCCCACCATTTGCCACCTGTTGTCAGACAGCATAACTTTCGGATAACCACTGTAGAAGAAAAGTCTTCTTAAAACTTGCAAGAATTCCATAGTGATGGTGTCAGTGGCGAGTTTGCAGTGAATGGCTTTCGTGTTCAGGCATGTAAAGAGTACACCGTAGTGTTTAGCTGTCTTGTTTCTGCTGATCTTTACTTTGATGAGCCCAAAGTAGTCACATGGGGCCCAAAGTGGCGTGAGTGGTTGAAGGCGACTTGTAGGTAACTTGGAGAGCTTGTTTCCCTTGACAATCCAGTATTTTCTTCTCGTCTTGGTGGTTGTAGTCACAATGCCTGGGTGTCCTGACGGATGTACATCATTGGTAATTAACACTGATATCCAATGGTCGTATGGCAAGAGGACAGCATGCTTGGAATCATACAACGCGAGAGCTGGATCGACACGCACACCAACTCAAGTGATGCCTTTGATGTCTACAAATGGGTTTAACGGTTTGAAGTCTCACTTGGCTATTCTTGTAAGTCCAACTTGAGACTTCTTAATCCAAAATTCTGCTTTTTCGACTTCTTCAGCATCTGGCGGTTCTACAGAGACTTATTGCCTTCTCTATCGCGGTGTGTTTTGTTGCAGAGGTTGTTACAGAAGCGGATAGCATAGGCGGTAACCTTCAGCAATCGTTTCCATGTTGAGAACTTTTTGCAGTCAATCACAGTGTTTACAGAAGCAGGGCGGGTGATTTGACCCTTTCTTTTCTCCTTGTTAACTTCCTTGAAATCCAAGGTACCTTGCTCAACAGGCCAGAACTCTTGACCTTGCTGTAGGAACTTGGGTCCATTAAACCATCTTCCATTCATTTCTTCAACCAAGATTCCCTTTGTTAAGTCATCGGCAATGTTAAGCATGGTAGAGTAATGTAACCAATCTGCTCTGTATCTCGCCAACTCAACAGGAGACGAATGGTTTGAAGCTTCTACTTTCACTCCTTGTCCAAAGAAAGTGTAACAAGGCTGTCTGAGAAGTATCGTATTCTCTCAAACTTAAATCGCGATTCTTCCACGATGTTACTTCCAAAGTAGCTGGTGATGACGGCTGCTTGTAACTCAAGGCGGGGGATAGTGGGTTCTTTTAGGGGAGCAACCTTAGACTTTGCTGCTGCAAAACACACACCAAACCTTCCATCCTTAAGGTTACATTGGACATAAGCACATGCACCAAACACTTGTCTTGAGGCATCACTGAAGACAATCAAAAAAGGATCACCACATGTGTTGGAAGGCGTGAGGTAACGTTTGAACTTGACATTGTTTAAGGCGATCATTTCTCAAAATAACTTGATCCACTGTCACTTTATTTCTGGTGGAATCTCATCATCCAAGCCAAGGCCAATTTACCATAGTTCCTGCATTGCAATCTTCGGCTTCACAAGGACTGCTGCTCCAGTTCCCATTGGATCAAATACACCTGCAAGCTTGCTCAGAATTAGACGTTTTGTCATTGTCAGGAGGATAAACGTGCCTGGATCTCCCAAAGGAAGGTTTTCTTTAGCCAATTCAAGTTTGATTTTAAACGTAAACATGTCTTCCTGAGGAAGCCACACTGCTCCTAAGACCTTTTCTACTTGGCTTTTACCTCCAATTGTAACTTCACTTGGGTTTTCTTTTACGTCACTTTGCTCACTGGAAATCCACTGCTTCACATGAAAACCGCCAACATCAAGCACCTCATCAATATCTGACATCAATGCCTTGGCTTCCTGAACATTGTTGACTGAATCGCAGATGTCGTCTCATAGGCATTCTTCAAAATAGCTTCAGCGGCCCTGGGTTTCTCTTCTTTCCTCATGTTCGGCGACTTCCGCATTGCGGTAATAGCCATCATTGGCACTGGGCGGTCGCCGAACATGAGAACAGTCTTAACGTACTTAACTTCATAATTTCTCGAGAGGAATTTGTGCACATGCTGATCTTCTTCGGGTATGGCAATCATATGATACATCTTTGCAATGTCTCCACAAATAGCGTAGGGTTTCGTGCAAAATCGTATCACAACGCCAAACAAATTGTTTAGCGGGTCAGGTCCCTTGAACCAGTAGTCGTTGAAGGTATGGCTGTTATGTGATGCTGAGCTGTTAAATACAATTCTCACTGGTGTACTTTTCTTATCTGGGTATGCAACGGCATGATGGGAGAAGTAGTGTATCGCCCCTTTCCAATCAGTCAGTTCTCTTGGGGACAGCTTCCTTGCAAATTGCATTGTTTCTATCTCCTGGATTTGATTGTTGTAGCTCGAGGAGTTCTCTGGATCTTTCATGAGGTGTCATTCTAATGACTCTAACTTCTTCCGTACTTGAACGTAATTATTTGGCAGAATAGAAGGACATCTTTTCCAAGGGTATTTCATTATCCACTTGTTCCCTTGTAACTGACAGGATTCTTCTATCAGCTTGAGCTCTTCTCTTTCCTGTGCTGACAATTTGGCACCTCCAGACGTACATGGCACTATGGACACACCCATCGATTCCGTCTTCCACAAATCAGTCATGTCAACAGGTTGGGCATGGCGAACAATAGACACTTGTTTAATTTGCGGCATTAAATCTTCAGTGCTGGAACCAAATATCACCCAACCAATTGGGCTGTTCCTTGCGACTAATGTTCCCTTTACTTTCGTTTCACGGATGTGGAACCTTGAATAATGTATTCCTATCAGAACATTGATGGGGCCAGCTTGTTGTCTGATGTCGTCTGAACCAAGGCCAAAGAGATTCGCTAATGCAGTCACATCAACTTCCGTTATGTCATCTGATATTTGAGCAATACCGACTGCTTGTATAACTTGAAATGCTTTGCCATCAGATGTGCAGACAGGAAACTTACAAATCTTTGTTGTCAGCTCCTCGTCAATACCACCGACCTTTGTAATCAGAATTTTGACAGGCTTGCTTTGAAGACTGAAAGATTCAGTGAGACTACTGCGTATCATGGATATTTGAGCACCAGAGTCAAAAAATATGACGGCTTCTTTGAATACATTTGTGTTGGGGTGTACTTTAATTGCACCTGTTGCTACTGGAAGTAACGCCAAACTCTTGTCCTGTAGCGTGGAGACTTGTACTGAACCAGATGCTTCTCCACTGTATAAGTGCAGGAGTTTATGGTGGGACTTCTTACGTGCTGTGCCATCGCTATTCTTTTCAGAACATGTCTTTCTGCGCAGGTAATTTGTGGATGTATAACCTTTACCGTGCTTCAAACATGAACAACACTCTTTTTGATCCTTAACAACCTCCCACTGTTCATTAGGGGTCATTGCTTTAAATTGTGGGCACTCATCAACGTAGTGACTTGCTTTACATACGTAGCACTGCTTCTGATTTTTGTCACGTTCGCCAGAGAATTCCCATTTCCATCAGCACCCAGTAAATTGATGGAGGGACGAGTGGTAATGCCAGTCTTGCATATCGTTGCTCCAGATCCAAGCCTTGCAGTCATTTTTCCGTCCATCCACTGAAGCAAATGTTTCATTGAAGGCTCCAACTTTTGTGAGTGAATGTGGCGGGCCCAAATTTTCACGTCATCCTTTGTCATCTTGCGTTCAATCAGTGATGTTACATGGGTGTTGTCGATTTCTTGGGGGCATTTTACTTCCTTTAGAATGTTGTACTATCTTCTCAAACATGAAGAAAGCTCACAGATCGCAAGAACTGTTAATGAAAACGAAAACGAACAAGGCTGTGCAGCTATGCAAAAGCATAAATAAGAAGCGCCTCTTGTAATGAAGCATGAAAAGCCCAGAATGCCTTGTTTTATGGTGATGTACGCAAATATTTCATTTTTAAGGCCGACTTTCAGCATGCTGTGGAAAAATATTATTCTGAGAGAGTTGCCTTTTCTATTCTTCGTTCATGTAAGTGACCA